ATTCCAAGGAATACATAAGAGTCGACAAAAAATTAAAATGGCATCAAATTATATTTTATATTTTGATGCTTAAAGTGAATAATCAAATTTTATAAAAACGTTATTTTAACGTAAAAATATGTAACTTTCTCTTAGTATATTTCGTGAGATTGTGCTGTTAAGTAAAATTTTATAATCCTAAATATTTGCATTTTACTTTACATTCGGATTAAAATATAGTGTACAGCTCTACAACGTTTAGACGCACTACACACATGTGTATAAGTGCATCTAATTAAATTTGCTATAAACCTCCATTTGCCGAGTTTTGAAGCGCGATCGCTCACAGTTTGTGTAACATCTGTCAAATTGTTAAGAATCTAATTACTAAAAATCATTACGATTAGAACTGTAGGACAGATGCAAAATACGATGAGTGATTAAATGTACGATCTGAAAATATAAAAAAATCGCGGTTTTCTTTTTTGCAGAAAATAAGGAATTTTTTTGAGCACTGAAATTTTACATAAAATTTGAACAATAATAAGATTGAAAAGAAGATCGTTTATGTTACATACGTTACTTTAAATACAAAGTGTCACTACGGTCTGAATATGTTAAGATATTGAACTATTATATATATTCATTTAAATGAATTAATTTCAGAAATTATAATTGCGTGCCAATATGTCGGACTTTCAACGCAATCAATCTGAAATATTAATAATTATTATTTCCTCTCGAATTTCCCAAATTTAATCTTAAAAAACTTATTACGAAAAAATACGCAATTATAATTTCTGAAATTAATTCATTCAAATGAATTATAATAGTTCAACATCTTAATATACAGACGTAATAGCGCTTTAATTTAAAGTAGAATTTGAAATTATAAAAAGAATTCACAATTTCTTGCGCTGAATGATCCCAAAAAACTTAAGTAACAAATGATATTTATAGTGATATAAATTAAGTACTAAAATCGAAAAATTCCGAAGTGCTAAAATTAATATGCACGTTTGCTTTTTATGGATGAACTTTCTAAACTGGTACATGTCGAAATAGTAAGTCGAAACGAGACAAATATGGTTTATTTCACTTCATTGCACTATATACGGTAATTTAGTTTTTTTGATAAAAAAAAACCAGGCTAAATCTCGGATTGAACAAGTTAAGCTACGAGCTCGAAATAATGATTTTTGTTTTAGTAATAATAAATACAGATTATTAAAAAGTGAAGAATCTTGAGTGTTTATTATTTAATTTATACATCACACGCTTTATTCGTATTTTTAAACCAAAACGAACGAGAGGAAAAATCGAATAAAAACATATTAGAAAAATCAAGCTAAATATGATAATCACATTGCTCACGTCAGTCAATAAAAAAATCGAAGTTCCCATTTATCATTGTCCTGATTACAAGATAAGCAATTATTCACAGAAATTACGGCTTTTATTAGAAATTATATAAAAAGAAGGTTGCGGTTTTCTTTCTTATGAAAAATTATCTCGAATACCATGAACTCGGAATGTCTCTTGAATATTGAAATATTACGTAAAATTTAAAATTATAAAAACAATTCATAATTTTTCTCGCGCAAAACAATTCTAGATAATCGAGGTAACAATTTATTCAACAGTGATAAAAATTAAAAACTAAAAATTAAAAAATGAAAGCTTTCAATTGATATAGATACCTCAGAATATTTTCAAATCAAAATCTTTTAATATCTTTCATTCTTTTCTTAATTGTAGAACTTCAAGACCAAGCGGCGACACCATTGAGCGAAAAGGATGGACCGGCTTCTCAGAAAGTACATGCGGCTGTGTATTATGAAGCGTTATGCCCGGATTCGCGTAGTTTCGTTTTAAAACAATTAAATCCAACGTATCAAAAACTCTTGACAAACATAGAGGTTGAGTTGTTGCCATATGGTAAGGCGAAGGTAAGAAAAAACTGTTGCGACCAATCCTGGTAAAACACAGAAATCAATAATATCATTAGAACGTTATCATGACCTTATTTACCATTTATAAATTTACTTATATAAGTAACAAGTGTAAGTCATGTTGATGCTCTGTGTTATTACGATTCTGTATTTACCTGGAAACTCGTTATTAATGCATTATATTTTTAAGTTAATATATCGCGGTTAAATATTAGGTGTAGTAAAAAGAAATTCATTATTTTTGCATGAAATTGAATGGAAAAATAATGGATTTCTTTTTACTACACCTAATATATCGAGAATGAAATCATTAATCGAGACAATATTAGATCAGTGAATCGAGTTAAACGGCAAACTTTCTAAAGTTACGTATTCGATTTTCAACATAGACGACAAAAACGAGTGATGGGTATCAGTTCATGTGCCAGCACGGACCGATCGAGTGTCAAGCGAATATTATACACGCTTGCTCCATCGACGTCATTAAGGATCCATCGGTACAATTGCAATTTGTGGCCTGCATGATCGAGAATAATATTGACCCGATACGAATAATGAAAACGTGTGCCGAGCGAATATCCGTTGACTTGGAGTCTATAAAGAAGTGTTCAAACACTGGAAGAGGGCAGGAACTCCTGGCAAAGTACGGAGAGATGACGAATTCCCTCGTGCCGCGGGTGTCTTTCATACCAACAATTACTCTTGACGGGGTGAGTATTCGTTTCGTGATTTAGCGTTTCGTTAAATCAAGTATAACGTTAATATTTTTATATGTTGTACGATAAATTTTTTAAACGTGTTGATTAGTTATTGGATAGAGAAAAAAAGTGTTTCCAGAAATTCTCTATCTTGTGACTTAATTAACATACTTGAAAAACTTATACGACAAACAAAATATTAACTCAAAAACTAATATGCGTCGAAAGTAAGTAAATGATATTCATATATTTTCAGAATTCTGAGCATCAAGTGAGGATATTGAAAAACTTACTGAAGGAAGTGTGCCTGCGTTTCAAAGTTCCACCAAAAGAATGTGTATCGTGAGAACACGCATTGTTCACTGCTAGCAAAACATATCTGCATAATCATCGAATTTTGTTATTATGTTACACGAGTTTAAAAAAAGTCATGTATAAAAATATAGTTATTTTTCAAAAAAAAAAAATAAAAACTGTTTCTCTGTTTTATCTCTCGATAAGACAATTCTACATCTTGTGTAAGTTCGTCCGTTAATTGTTGAAGAGTAATTATTACGAAAACACTAATTAGTAGGAAAACAATACGTAATTTATCTCTCCATATAAACGCATAATTGCACGGAATGACGCAGTTGTAAAGTTTCTCCGTAGTCGTATGTATCGTAAGAGACAGTTTTTCTGTTGTCAGATATACTTGGCTGTTTTTGTCAGGGAGATAAAATCGCTTGTATTATAGATAAACACCAGTTTGCTCCCATATAAGTATATAGGAACAATTTATTAACTTAATATCAACACTTTATACAAACTGTGCCGCTTTATTTATGTACGACAAGAAGTGAAGAACGCCTTTGAGATACGGCAGAGAATATACTTACATACACTAGAAATAATTTTCGAATTAGAAGTTCTGAGAAATTAAGGAGCGTTAAAATTGAATGACTACAATTGTTAAAGCAATAAAAAAGAAAAGAGCTCTATGCTCGAAATAATCTGATTAAAAAAAAAATATTTCCTCATTTTGCAACGTACAACGTTTTCACTTTGTTTATAGCGCAACGAACTTGTTTGTTTAAAAAATTGCTATTAGCATAATCGAACGAAAACTCACTTCGTCGATCAATTTTCCTTTTTTTCATATGTACACATCGAAATAAATACAACGTTTGATAAAAGCAGGATGTGTGTCTTGGTACCTCCGCAAATACGGTATAAACGATTCTTTTTTTAAGAACAACAACGTGTATTTCAATAACAAAGATCGAGGGGACGCTAAATTAAATATTAGAAGAGCTAACGCTTCAATATTATTCAGTAAAGATTTGGCATTGCCTCGATGTTAACGTTCACAACAAGAGCTTCCATGCGCCACTCTTTCTTTCGCTCGCTTTCTCTTTCTTTCTATCTATCTATCCTCGGCGCGCGAAAATTCTTTCAATAAATAGATTTTGCGATACGGATATAAAATTACTATTATATTAAATACTGGAATAGAGTCTTTGTAACGTAAGAGACTTAATCGCTAGGTATCAGTGTTCGATGAAACGAAGCGGATTTGGAAGCATTTAGATACAGATGCCTGTTGAATACTAACGACCACTTTTACAAAACGAGTGTGTTGACAAATCTTTCTCATTCTTAATAAAGAGTGTAAGTGTGGAAATATACTTCAGGACACAGAATAACCACAGTTTACAAATAGATCCAATGTGTGCTTTTTTTCTCTCCCCCTATTTTTTTTCGGATGTTTAATGGGGAGCGAGAGTTCCTAATTACAATTAATACCGTACTTTCTTGTAACCTATATCTATTCTTCTCAAAAGTTTTCGAGAGTAGCGAGAAAAGTCAGAGATATGTAAAGTGGATCCTGTTCACAGAGACACAATGAAATATTCTCATAGCAAAGTATCTAGATGCCATCGAACACAAAAAGAGATGGTTGCTGAAACGAGAGGTCCATTAGTAATGAAGGAAACGAATCGAGTAGCTGTGACCTAAAAATGAGGATATATTTATTTTATCTTTTTTACTTTTTTTTTATCTTTTTTTCTTTTTTGTTTAATGATCAATGCGATCTAGGTCACCAGAAATACAAGTACTTCTCATTTTGTTCACTTCAATATTAAATAATAAAGGACTGTGGAGGAATTATCTCTTTCATTTTTTTTTCTTAATTTCTTCGTAAATTATTTTATATATATATATATTACATATATATTATGACTGAACCACCGACACGCATGATGTTTACGCTGTACGGCATTTATGTTCTTTGCTCTCAAGTTCTTAAGTAACATTATATTGTACGGATCGCACAAAAATCACACCAGTTTCTCCGATCTGGTTGGCTCCGTTTTTACGAGACTGGCACGCACCCCTGGGCGAAGAAAAGTAATGCACCGATCTCACTGTGGCCTTTACTTCCTTTAATCCCCCATCCCTATTTTATTTCTCCATAGATTTACATATCAACAAAAGTGGTGTCGACGTTGTTTCTCTTTTTTTTTCGTTTTTTAAAATCTTTTTTGCGCGCATGTATGTAAGGCTTTCCCTTAGAGTGGAAGGCAAGTTTACAAATAGGAGATTAAAATGGAACTGGAGGCAAAACGCACTTCGTGAATATAGTATTATAGTATTTCTCTTTTTTTCTTTTTGCTCTGTGTGTATAATCTTTCGTGTGTAGTTTCTCGCGTAAGTATAGTTCGTAAAACGTTACGTGTACGTGTGAGTCCCGTGTGCACGAGCACAAGAGGCTGGATGATGTTGATTCAAAGCGTAAGGAAGAGACTTTTCTTTTTTATTTTCTTTTTTTTTTCAAATAGGAATGTCGAGACTTCGGATCCTGGAGCTTTCCATCGATCGCGTCGCGACTCATTCGCGTTCGCGCGATGTCATCCGCATGATAGATTATACCGTCTCGCGAGACGCGACGCGCGCGAAAGCACAAGGTCTGAGCTCCTCGAAGCTTCTCCTCCAATTCTTTCTTCCCATTATCTTATCTCACTCTCTTTCATCACTTTTTTTTTTTATAAATTTTCTCGCTCGTTACTTATATAAATTAAGTTATTCGTTTGTGAGGCATCGAGGGGTCCAGCACAGCTTTTGCATTTAAAGTCATTAATAACCCAGAGGCCGAAGCGCATCGTATTTATACTCTCTCTCTCTCTCTCTCTCTCTCTCTCTCTCTCTCTCTCTCGCTCTCTTTCTCTCTTTGTCTGGAAAACGATCGGTCCAGGCCGAATTCTCTCTCACAGAGACAAACAAACATTTGTACATGTGCATGCATTTTTAACGGTAGAGACATCATCATCTATTTAGCAGCTACATATCCTAATGTCATCATTCACTATACACGTATCTCGTTTATTAAAAAAAATGAACGAAGGAATTCTCGAGATGAATCTTCCTCTCGATTGGCAAATAAACCTTTGCTGTTTTTAATATTATTTTACATCGGATTTATACTTTGTCCCTTAACACACATTTCCTCTCCCTTTGTAAAGAGAAATTACAATTCTTCGACATGCCATTCTCATGAAAAAACTTTCGGGAAATGAAGGAGGATAGAAGGAGACGTAGAGAGGAGGAGAAGGACGATGGTGCTGAAAGGCGTGACAAGAGGAGAGGGAAGGAAGGGGAGGGGCAGTCGAGAAAGAGAGGAAAGTGGAAAATGCACTTTTTTTCTTGTCGTTGGTGCACATGCGCGCGCAATTGTGTGTCTTCGCGTTATCTCACTTCCAAACTTGTTTTATCCAATGGAAATAAGACATCCGAGTGAATGTGTATATGTGTGTACGTGTATACTCTTCGAGCGTGTTGCGTTCATTATGTATATCGGTGTAAACGAGTTATTGTTATGTGTGTATGTGTATGTATACACGCGTAAATATTTGTGTTTTGAGAGATAATGATTTTAGTGGTATAACTCTTTAATTAAACAATTAATTGCCCTGTATTACTTATCGTTAAACGATGATTTTTTTTTTAACGCGGTATCGGACGTTGACTCTTCGCGCTTTTATAGAGACATCTTCATATCCTGATACAAGATTTGTCACTTTCTGGTTGATTCTCGTTTTGTTACATATGTTTTTTTCTCTGTTTCTTGAATTATTTAATACGTCAACACCACTCCGAGTCGCGAGTTCTTCCGTTACACAGGTTGCATTCACTTTGATGTCATCATTGTGACGAATTCTGAAAAATACAATGAAAAAAATGTCTTGTTAGTTACGTGCATATTAGTTTATATACTTAAGTCTATAAAATGTTTCGGTAAAATAATGATGAAAGGTAAAGTCAGATATTTCTTTATCATGACGTCAAAAACGAAGAAGTTACGAGAAGTTATGCGTGAACCAACTGTGCAAACTTTTTTATTGAGAATTGTATTAATTTACAGAAGAAAAACGATTTTGTTGATAAAAATTGTTTACATGAATATAGGAAGTGTTGGCATACGTATAATTGGAAATTTCATTCAATTTTATTATAATTTAAACATTTTTTTAAATATCTCTTCAACATCGATATTTTATTTAATTAAAATTATAAATTAAATATGCACAGCAATTACTATCTCAATACCGTAAAATGACATATATTTAAAAGATTTTATATGCGATATATCGATAATAAGTTTTATTTTATACTAATTAATAAATCAAGCAATACAACCTTCATAATTAACTTGGCCATCGCCGTCGATATCGGCCTCCCGTATCATTTCATCTACTTCCTCATCAGTGAGTTTCTCGCCCAGATTTGTCATGACGTGTCTAAGTTCTGCCGCGGATATGAAACCATTTCCATCCTTATCGAACACTCTGAAGGCCTCTCTAATCTCTTCCTCACTATCCGTGTCCTTCATTTTACGCGCCATCATGGTCAAGAATTCCGGGAAGTCGATTGTGCCGTTACCTAGAATTTCAAAATTTTCAACCTCAATTCTATTGAAATTGTTTATTTTCCTCTTTTAATAAGAAGAAAAAGAAGCTTTAACATCTTGCGACAGAAAAACAAGCTCTCTTCTAGAAATATTAAACATAATATTTACGTTTAACAGTAACGTTCGCAAGTTGAAATAAAGGAATGGAGCGAAACAATTGGTTTTTGTGTACAAAATAATTTATAATTTATGACATTGACGTGCGTTGAAAAGCTACATTAGGATATATATACCATCTGCATCTACTTCGTTAATCATGTCTTGTAGTTCGGCTTCTGTGGGATTTTGACCAAGGGACCGCATTACCGTGCCCAATTCTTTAGTAGTTATAGTACCATCGCCGTCTTTATCGAAGAGCGAGAACGCCTCCTTAAATTCTGCGATTTGTTCTTCTGTGAGTTGATCAGCCTTTAAATAGAAAACAACACAAAAGCTTAATTCTCTCAGCATTAATAAATTACATACGTATTAATGAGTGCGAACGAATATAATATAGTTCTTCTACAA